TGAACATTATTATATTTTTTAATAAGTGGTTTTCTTCTATTGTCAATCAATTTCACAGCGAATTCTCTCAGTTGTGAGCGATACCGAATTCTCTCAGTTGGGAGCGAGATTCTTTGATCTTTGTTGAATTCTTAAGATTCTGGTGTTTAATCGTCACTAGTTTTCATTCTTCTCTTTTCGTTCTTGTTCTGGAGGCGCAGTACTTTCACGGGGTTGTCCTTTTTCGTTCTTCTTTAAATATTTAGGGTAAACTTTGGGATTTTCCGTCCAGCTATGTCGAGGCCATCTAGCCCCACCCAAGATGACGATCTAGCACAACGTATGGAAAGCTTCTCCCTTTCTAATCGAGAATCCTTATTGGTGGATATAGCGCAAGCAGATATCAAAGTTAGCGCAGATGAATGTCACCGCAGCTTGTTCGGGAAAGTGGTTGGCGATCGTTCAGCCAATTGGATTGGGATTAAACGTTCAATGACCCAGATATGGAGGCTTTCCCAACCAATGGAGGTTAAAGAGTTAGAGCCGAATTATTTTCAATTCATCTTCCAGAGCAGAGATGACCTAAAACGAGTCAGTTATGGTACCAACTGGACATTCGAGAATCAATACTTGATTCTCCGTGAATGGCGTTCTGGCTTGAATAGTAAGCATCCGTGTTTCCAAGAACTCAATATCTGGGTTCAAGTTGTGAATGTGCCTTTGAACTGGCTCAGCACTGATGTAGGCATCAAAATTGGTACAGTTTTTAAAGAAGTTGACAATGTGGTTATAGCCAACTATGGGAATCACGGAGGTAAATTTCTTCGCCTATTGGTAACTCTTGACCTAATGGAACCAGTTCCCAGATGCACCAAAGTTAGACTTGGTGAAGAAGTGGTAACTATCAGCTTCAAGTATGAAAAACTTAGAAATCTATGCCATTACTGTGGACACATTGGCCACCTGGAGAAAGGATGTTTTAAAAAGGTTGATGACATCAAAGCTCGATGTCTTAAAGAGGGCCAATATGGAGATTGGCTGAGGGCTCCAGAAGGACAATACTGGGCTAGCAACAACAATTTCACCTCAGGCTCAAGAAGCCCACCTCGAAGTCCAAGTAACTCTCAACACCCTTCTTCTCCAACTCACACTGAGAATCAAGATCACAGGGGTAGTCAAGCTTCTCATGAACAACAGCTTATTGTTCACTCAGCTGAATCCAACCCTGCCCTTAAATCTTCAACTCATGGTTCTTCTAGCAGCTCCCATACTGCACTCTGCAAGCCATTAGAGTTGTCCAAAGCTCCTATTATCCAAGAGGAACCTTCAAAACCAATGGAAGTTGAAACAAGAATCCTTCCTTTAACAATTGTCAGTCCTCCCAAAGCTACAACAACAGGCCAAGGCAAGCTTACAACTTGGAAAAGAATTGGAGACAAGGAAGGCAGGCTTCAAAGACAGGATGAGTCTCCTTCTCAATTACAATCCACAATCAGTGGTAAAAGACCTAAGGCAGAGAAGTCATCTGACATAGAAGCTGAAGAGGTCCATATTTCAAAGGGCTCTGAATCAAAGAAATCCAAAACTTTTTCTGAACAGGTGGGGGTGGCCAGCCTCGAGTGGCACCCAAGTTCCCAATGCTAGCTGCGGTGTGGAACTGTAGAGGGCTGGGTGGGCCCTCTACAGTTTCCCAAATCCGAGGGATTATCAAAGCCCATCACCCAGCTTTTATTTTTCTGTCTGAAACCAAAAAATCAAATGCATTTGTCAAGTCAGTTAGTAAGAAATTAGGCTTTGAGGACAGATTTTCAATTGCTGATCCTCAGGGTCTTAGTGGAGGGCTCTTATTATTATGGGATCACTCAGTCACTATTCTCAACATGCAGGCTTCTTCCTTCTTTATAGCAGTTCATTTTCAGATCTCTTCTTCAGAGCCTCAGTGGGGAGTGTTTGTCTATCTAAGCACCTGCAGAGCCACTAGAGTTACTCAATGGGCAGACCTTGAGTCTGTGAGGCATAATTGGGGCAATCTTTGGTTTGTGATTGGAGATTGGAACGATATCTGTTCCAGTGCAGACAAAAGAGGAAGAAATTCCAGATTGCAGAGTAGCTTCTCAGGCTTCAACTCTTTTATCAGGAATATGGATATGGAAGAAATAATGATGCTAGGCCATCAATTTACTTGGAGTAATAACAGAGTGGCTGATGGATTGGTGGAAGAGAAATTGGATAGAGGCTTTGGCTCCATTGACTGGCACCACCAATTCCCTAATGCCAAGGTCCTGAATAAGGTAGCAAGTTCTTCTGATCACTCAATATTGTTGATGGATGCTGGTCAGTTCAAAGATAGAAAAGCAAAGCGATTTCATTTTGACAAAAGGTGGGTGGAAAAGGAAGGTTTTCTAGAAATTGTGACAAAAGCCTGGTCTACTCCTGTCAGTGGCACTCCTTTTTACAGACTCAAGGAGAAGGTCAAAAACACCAGAGCTGCCTTGCTACTTTGGAGCTCCAAATTTCACTCCCAAAACCAACTCAAAATAGCCTCTCTCACTCAGAAGTTAGAATCCCTAAGAGAGCAACAGACTATCTCCAACTGGGAGGATTGGAACTCAACAAGAATTGAATTGGAAAAAGCACATCACACAGAAGAGTTATATTGGCAACAAAAGGCAAGATTAAACTGGCTCAAACAGGGAGATTGCAACTCGAGGTTCTTTCATGCCTACACCCAACAGAAAAGGAGACAAAATGCAATCTCAAGACTTATCACATCAAGGGGAGAAGAGCTTACATCGAAACATGCCATTCAATCCCACATTACAGAGTTTTATTCCACTCTTTTTTCTACTGAAGGCTCTTGGGGTGGGGACTCAATTCTCCACTTAATCCCAAAGACCATTTATGAGGATATGAATACATCCCTGATGCAGCCTGTTGAGGAGGATGAGATCAAGACAGCTCTGTTTAGTCTTCCTCCTGAAAAGGCACCTGGAGAGGACGGTATGAGTGCTTTTTTCTATCAACACCTTTGGTCACTTATTCATTCTGATTTGGTTGCTGCTGTTTTGAGCTTCTTTAATTCTGGTCAAATTTTGCAATATTGGAATCACACAATCCTATCTCTCATCCCTAAATGTGCATCACCAGACTCCTTAAATCAATTTCGACCTATTAGCTTGTGCTCAGTAGTTTACAAGGTGATCTCCAAGGTTCTTGCTAAGAGGCTTCAATTTTGCTTGAATGGTTGCATCAGTATCCAGCAGTCTGCCTTTATTAAAGGAAGGCAATTACTTGACAATGTCATTGTTGCCCAGGAAGCTTTCCATTTTCTGAATAGGCATTCCTCTGGCAAGAACTACTTTATGGCTTTAAAGCTTGATCTTATGAAGGCTTTTGATAGGGTTGAGTGGCTGAGCATTAAAAAGATAATGGTGCAGATGGGCTTTCAATTGGGATTTATCAAACTTATTATGGCCTGCATCTCTACATCCTCTATCTCCTTCAAAATAAATGGTGAAGTCTGTGGTTATGTATACCCTTCCAGAGGAATCAGGCAAGGGGATCCCATCTCCCCTTACCTGTTCTTGATCATGTCTGAAATTTTATCTGCCCTCATATTGGATGCCTGTTCCTCTGGTCTTCTTAAGGGTATGAGGTTGTCCCAGAATGGTCCTACTTTATCCCACCTCTTATTTGCTGATGATTCATTGTTTTTTTGCGAAGCTGGGGTTGATCAAGCTCACATTCTTATGGATTTGCTGAGCAAGTACAAACTATTTACTGGCCAATCTGTTAATCTGCAGAAGTCTGCAATTTTTTTCAGTAAGAACACTCCTAGCACTCTCCAGCATAATATCTGTTCTACACTCCATGGCATCCACCCCCACAGATCTACTAGATACCTGGGATTGCCATTGGGCATTGGAAGATCAAAAAAAGAGGTCTTTGCTTATCTTCTGGATTCAGTCAAAGGAAAACTTCAGAGTTGGAAAGCCAAACTTCTTTCTTCTGCTGGGAAAATTGTACTTATGAAAGCTGTGTTGCAGGCATTGCCCATATTCACTATGTCTTGCTTTAAGCTGCCTGCGAATATTTGTGCTGAAATCTCAAGCCTCTGTGCTAAATTCTGGTGGAACACTAGTTCTGATGATGACTTCAGAGGCATTCACTGGAAAAGCTGGGAAAAACTCACAATACCTAAACAGGCTGGTGGTCTAGGCCTCCTTGATATTAAGCTCTTTAATGAAGCCCTTATTTGCAAACAAATTTGGAGGATTGTCAGCCAGCCAGATCTTTTAGTGAGCAAGGTCTTAAAAGACAGGTACTTTCCTAATTCCTCAATTTTTCATGCTTCAAAATCTCAGAAAGGTTCATGGTTATGGAACTGTTGGGTTGATGTTCTCCCATTCTTTATTAAGAATCTGAAAACTGAGATTAGAAATGGATCAGACACTAGAATTTCTGACCACAACTGGGTGCCTAATCTGTCAAAACCTTCTCCTGCATTACTTGAGCTTGCTAGAGAGCATCTGATATTTGTTAAAGACCTTATGCTGCCAGATGGTTCAGGCTGGAATGAATGGTTAATTAAGCAGGTCTTCAACAATGAGGATAGCTCTGCCATTTTGGAAATCAGTACTGTGAAAGCTGATAGAACTGATAGGCATTACTGGGCCTTGGACAAAAAAGGAAACTTCACAGTGTCTTGCACTTATGCTAATTTGGTGGCCCAGAAAGTTCATGCTATGGATCTTCCAGAAAGCAGTTTATGCCCCAATCCATGGCACTCAACTTTAAAGAGATTCTGGTCGATGAAGGTGATGATAAAAGTCAAATTATTTATTTGGAAATGTTTTTCTGGAGCACTGCCTGTTCTTGTGAAACTGAAAAGCAGAGGCCTGGATATTGATGTGATTTGTAGAAGTTGTGGAGAATCTCCTGAAACCATTGAGCATGTATTGCTTCAGTGTCCTAGAGCTTGTACAATATGGGATTTAGCTCCAGTTTCTTGGCCAAACTTAGCCCACCTCAGGTACTCTTTCAGAAATTGGTGGCTAGAAGTCTGCAGCATAGGTCATTCAGAGATAGCTGAGGACAGAATTCAGCTCTCCACCTACCTCCTTTGGTGGCTCTGGAAGACGAGGAACCAGTGGATATTTCAACACTCTACTCCCCCACCTCACATTGTCATCAAAGCAGCCATGTCAGACTGGCTGAACTTTACTGCAGCTGCTAGAGGCTCTCCTTGATTTGTTCCTTTAGTGGTTTGGTTTGTTATTTTTGTTATGTTCTGTTTCTTTTGCTTTGTTCTTTTAGTGTTTTTGTTTCTTAGGGCAGGTGTTGGCTAGGCTTTGAGGCAGTGGTTCGGCATCTGTTCTTTTTACCTTTGTCTTCCTTATTTGGTTGAGGTTTTAGACCATCATGTTGATGTGTCTCTCATGTTGTCTTTCTTTGGGATATTGTATTTGGATATTGGTTGTTTTATTTAATAGTATCCTCTATCGTTCTGGAAAAAAAAAATCAATTTCACATTAAACCATATTTATCTATATACCTTAACTCCTAATTAACAT